GCCACGGCGGGCCCGTGACTCACCCCAAGCGGCCAATCACCCGCGGGCCGCCGCACTGAAGCCACCCGGAGCCAGAGGCTGCTCCCCGGCTCACCCACGGGCTGGGCGCCCAGCAGCGGGGCAAGCGGCCGGGCTCTGAGCAGCCGGAGACCGCGCCCCGGGCCCTTTCCCCCGACACACACCGGGCCCGCCACCCCCAGGGGACCCCGCCCGGGTCCCTCCCGCTGCCCGCCCTCGGTCCCTCGTGCGCGGGCAGGGAGGATATGGGGTGAGCGGCGCTGCGTGTTCACCTCCGTCTGCCTGCGGCTCCTTCGGCTTCTCCTCTCCCGCTTTGCTGTCCGCCATTTTCCCCCACCGCCTCCCCCCGGGTTCTGAGCCTGCGCGGTAGCCTCCTTTAGTTCTCCTGCTCCCTCCCTGCCATAGAGGGGAGGCGGCCCCAGAACCTCTAGAAAGTACTCGCCCCCTGTGGCTGGGAGTGACGAAGGCGGAAACGGTCAGCGCGTCACATGTCTCAGGGCAGCAGCGCTTCCGATTAAACAGCCAGATGCTCACAGACTCAGGGCAAGCTGACTTCCGCTGCGTATGCCGGCGCCGCAGCAGAACAAAGATGGCAATAAGCCGCTCTCTGATTGGTCAGGAGGAATGGCTCCGTCGTAACCAATCAGGGTGCCACTTGGGCATGGTTGGTGATCAGCAGTGGACATTTAAAGGGCCAGGACAGGAGTTAATCTCTCATCCTCTTCAACATAAGTTTTCCTGCCCCAATGGGCTGGGAGGTGGGGCACAGACAGAGAGTGATAGGGTTACCATATTTCAGCAAGCAAAAAAGAGGACGGGAGAAGCCCCGCTCTAGCCCCACCCCTGCCCCCCCACTTCCCACCCCCTCAGAACCCCCAACCCTCCTCCTGCTCCTTGTCCCCTGACTGCCCCCTCCTGGGACCCCTGCCCCTAACTGCCCCCAGGACTCCACCCCCTACCTAAGCCTCCCTGCCTCTTGTCCCCTGACTGCACCCTCCTGAGACCCTCCCCCCATTCTAACTGGCCCCCTAGGACCCTACCCCCTACCTGTACCCTGACTGCCCCAACCCTTATCCACCCCCAGACAGACCCCTGGGACTCCCACGCCCCATCCAACCACTCCCCACCCCCTGACAGCCCCCCCCCAAACTCCCGACCCATCTAAACCCCTCTGCTCCGATCCCTCTTCCCACTCCTGCCCCCGACAGCCCCGCCCCCAGAACTCCCCCCCTGCTCCTTGTCCCCTGACTGCCCCTTCCTGGGACCCCTGCTCCTAACTGCCCTCCAGAACCCCACCCCCTACCTAAGCCTCCCTGTTCCTTGTCCCCTAACTGCTCCCTCCTAAGACCCCCCC